CCCCCCCCCCCCCATATATATATATATATATACACACACACACACACACACACACACACATATATATATATATTTCAAAAGTAGTTCTCACAGCCTCATTGTGACTAGAGCCCCATGATACATCAAATGGAGATAAATTGCCTTACAACATGAGCTAAAGTTTGTTGTGGGACATTGTCTAATATTTGGATGTTTTGATTTTTTTTAGGCTCTTAGGTTGAAAATGATGCCTTTTTGAAACATATTCATAAAAAAAGGAGATGTTTGGATCCTATGTAAGGTATAGATTAACTTTTGTACTTGAGTACTGATTTTTTAAAACACTAGACTTGCAACTGAACAGACCCAATGGTGCTTAAGCTACACAGAATTTGTTCATGTCTAATAGGAGCTTGTTAATATCCATCGCACCTCGAAACGTCCAGGCTATGACAGCTATGTGAAACTGAGCATTTCTTATATATGATTTCATTTCTTGTTCAACATCTGTAGGGGATAATTCTAAGAGAATTCTTAGTTATCTAGCATTTTCATGTGAACTGTATTGGATTTCATGATTTGATCACACCGATATACCATCTAGAATTCACACTTACATGAGATGTTGAATATCACATTATCAAGCATTGTGCCTGATGTAAGACTAAGAATCGTTGAGGGACAATTTATTTTTATTGCATAATATTGAGAACAGATTAACTGAAAGTAAGAGGCTGGATTAATGCAATATCAGTTATCAGCAATGATTTGAAAAATACAAAAATATATCCAAAGCACTCTGCTTTTCAACTTTTCATTACCATATATCCTACAGGTTCCATCATATCCAGATGATATTGCTATGGCCCTTATTGAGGCAGAACTTGGACAACCATGGTATAACATATATTCAGAACTTTCTCCATCCCCAATTGCTGCTGGTAATAATACTAACAATTGAAATCTACTATTTGATTCAATAACTCTGTCCTAATATCTAGTTCCAAATATTTAATTATTCTCTCTATCTGCCTTTCTTCTATACCCACTATACGCGCATATTTAGTATGTATTCATATATCTTCATTTACGGATATTTGTTGGCAGCATCTCTAGGACAGGTGTACAAGGGCCGGCTCAAAGAGAATGGAGATTTGGTAGCTGTTAAAGTGCAGAGGCCATTTGTCCTTGAGACTGTTACCATTGATTTATACATTATCAGGACACTCGGCCTAGTTCTTAGGAAGTTTCCACAAGTAATAGCTGTTTATCACTGTTGACCTAAATTTATTTCCTTGCTTATGAGCTGAGTGACTGTCGCAGTTATGATGTTTTTTCTTTTATCTTCAAGATCTCTGTTGATGTGGTTGGATTAGTTGATGAATGGGCTGCTCGTTTCTTTGAAGAGCTTGATTACATTAATGAAGGGGAGAATGGGACACTTTTCGCGGAGATGATGAAGAAAGACCTTCCCCAGGTAGTTTCCATTACTTACTCGTCATTATCATCACCAACATCAGTAATACCTCAACCCTGGATTCCCATTTATGTTGGGGTTCATGGCATGTATCTGTAGTATCAATGAATTGTTAAAAATAATTGTGAACACTGTAAATTCATTCAACACATCATAGTGACAAAATCTTATTCCAGATGTATTTCCTATCACAACCTTTTAATGAAGGAATTATGTGATGAAATTCCAAAACCGTCATCATAAAGCTTTATTTTCACTAGAATCACTACCACTTGAAATTTGTGTTGCATTCCAAGGGGTTGCCAAGCCATCCTAAAGCAGCCCTTGATCAGTCCCTTGATTCTCAAAACAGCCCTATAGTGTGCATTTTGCCTTGGGTCGTTTCCTAAGGGAGTAAGTGGTACGACACACACACACACACCTATATTGTACCCTTTTTTCTTTTGTAGTTCCTATATACACATTGCATTCTTTGTTTTGAAAGATCCAGTGTGTTATCAAGAAACATAATCCAGACTTCAGTTATTGTCCAAGTGTCCAACATTATCCTTTTCCACTTAAAGACTGATCTGCCTTGCCCCTCACATACGTTGTGCATACACTCATACACAACAAGAAACAAAGGAAATTACTAAGACAAATGTCGCCAAGATAAGCAAGGGGGGACTACAGGCATAGATGGGTGTTGTGTATGTTCTTTGACTTATTCTGTTTTCATAGTGCATCTCTCTGATTTGGGAGGCTTCTCTCACTCTCTCAGGTTGTTGTACCAACGACATATCAAAAGTATACTTCAAGGAAGGTCCTTACAACACAATGGATAGAGGGGGAGAAACTATCTCAAAGTACAGCAAGTGATGTTGGGGAGTTGGTAAAGGTTGGTGTGATATGCTATCTTAAGCAGGTAATATTCTTTTAAAGGTTGTATTAATTAATGTACGGAATATAAACTTTTCAGATCTATTAATCAATGTCATTAATTTCTATTGGACCATTTCCTGCTTGATATCACCGGTTTATTGCTATTATCTACAGCTGCTTGACACGGGTTTCTTCCATGCTGATCCTCATCCAGGGAATTTGATACGCACTCCAGATGGAAAATTAGCTATACTTGATTTTGGTAAGTGCATGTTACGGAGAGTCGTGCTTAGGTTACACTCTTCTGTGTGAGTTGATTTACATAAATAAGATACTGAACTTTTCTTTAGTTTTGAATTATCATGGCATGCTCTGATTTGCCGTCTTGTCCCTTGGCAGGATTGGTTACAAAGCTAACAGATGATCAAAAATATGGGATGATTGAAGCTATTTCTCACCTTATACACAGAGATTATGGTGCTATAGTGAAGGATTTTGTCAAGTTAGGTTTCATTCCAGAAGGGGTTAATTTGGAACCAATCTTGCCAGTGCTAGCCAAGGTTTTTGATCAGGCGCTTGAGGGCGGGGGAGCAAAAAATATAAACTTCCAGGAGTTAGCCTCTGATTTGGCACAAATAACATTTGATTATCCATTTAAAATACCTCCTTATTTTGCTCTAATAATTCGGGCAATAGGAGTCCTGGAGGGCATTGCTTTAGTGGGAAACCCAGACTTCGCCATTGTGGATGAAGCCTATCCATACATTGCACAGGTTGAGTAATAAGTGCTGTTTTTCAAATTTCTAGTATGCTGGTTAATGTTTTGGAGAAGCCCATAGTTAACCTAGATCCTTAGTGGATACTCTCCGTCTCCTGTTAGGGATCTGAAAAGATCCATGAGATAGGTGAAGAATCCCTCTCTTGCCTGTGGCCAGAAGTGGATGAACTTCGAATCCTATAGTCCGTGACTAATTAGGATTTAGGAAGAATTGTTTAATGCTAATTGTTTCAGCGATGATAATTTTATTAATAATTGTGCAAGTATAAATAGACAAAGCCTTGCAAGATACCTATCATAATCAGATCAGGAAACATGAATCCTCGTTTATTAATAATAGAATAAGACTACTAATTGGAAACAATTAATATTCCAAATAATTTTATGAAGCTAATAATAATAATAGTTTATTGGAAACTAATAATAATAATAGTAATAATAATAATAATAATGATAACCATCAACGGTCGGTTCCGTCAACACTCACTTTGAGTATCAAGGGATGACACCAGCTCCAATTGGAGCATCTACGGTGCTCTGTAACATCTCCCCAAACAACCAAGTCCTATTTGAGCAGGGTACTATGTTAGTAAGCTCAATCAAGCAACAATCTTTTACAAGTTACAAATGATCACTTACTACCTTAAATTTTACTCATATTTCATAGATCGCTTCGAAAAATTGACTAAACCACTAACTACTTGTTTTTTGGGAATTTGGCTTGAAAATGAAACTTGACTATTAAAACCGGGGTCTTTTTTGTGGTTATTTTAAAACACGAGTCTTGTTTGGGACGGAGGAAGTATAGTATTATTTTTGTAGATAGAATATGTTATTATTTCCCAGAATGGGAAGTTATACATATCTACATTTAAGTTTATACACACTGAAGCTAACACACCTTTCTAATCAATAAATAAATACAGAGGCTTCTGACAGATGAATCCCCACGTTTAAGGAATGCCTTAAGATATACTATATATGGAAAATCTGGTGTTTTTGATGCCGAAAGGTTTATAGACGTCATGCAAGCATTTGAGAATTTCACAACAGCAGCTAGGAGCGGAGGTGGGGAGAATATGAATGGGAGGATGGCAGAACTTGGAATAATACGGAGTGAGCCAAATACCATGCTTCCTGCTTTTCCTTGGACAGCTTCTGAAGGATCTCAGCCCATTCAAACTAGGGCGGCCTTGGCATTTCTAGTTTCTGAAAAGGGGAATTTTTTTCGGGAGTTTCTTCTCGACGAGGTATACTGACAAATTAGATACAGAGAAATGTTATTGTTGCTTCTTATATGATTATAAGTATTACCCCCTCTGTCCACTACAGGGAAAAAATCTGTTTCAAATTTTTTTTATCCAAAAAAAGTCATGTTTCCAGAGCTAATTTTCGTAAAGTTTTTCAAAAGAAATAAATACGATTTACTCTAAAAATAATATGTCGGTCATATATGTCGTTGCGCTCTAAATACACGAGGAACTCTGTTTGAAATGTATGCAGACTGTGAAAGGAATAGATGCTGTTACGAGGGAACAGCTGAGGCAGATAATGTTGGTACTTGGAGTACAAAATATATCTCCGGCATTCACTTTGGGGAGTATCAAACCCGCAGCAATTTTGCCAACAATAACCGAGGAGGACAAAGTCATATTAAACAATGTCCAAAAGATAGTTGGTTTCTTAACATCTGGTAGTACCATTTCATCAAATTCCCAGGTACACTTGACTTGTTTTCCCTTTATAAACTAGATTTACATTTTGTGTCACAAGGCTAATTGCTGTTTGATCTTTTGTGACATCTTTCTTGATGTTAGATTTACCTAATCATATTTCTCTTTCCATGAAATGCATTGCTGTTTTACAATGTCTGCAGGGAGTAGTGAATGTTGCAGGGGCAATTCGGGAACTCCTCCCCGTGCTGCCCGGCTTTTCGGCCAAAGTGCTACCCGAAGTGGTCGCTCGGTTGTCTTCCAGAGTCTTTGCACGTTTGCTACGAGATGCGCTATTGTAAATCTAACATTGTTCTTTGTTCTGAACCCATACCCACAGGTATCTTTCTCTTTAGCCAAATGTAGAAAATATGTATAGTCTAATCGATGGAAATCTTTTTTTTTGTTTTCTAATTTAAATATCTCCTACAACGCAATTTTGATCATACATGTTACTCCCTCTGTCCCAATTTAATGTGCCCCATTTGATCACATATGTTTTGTACTAATAAAGTGCTTTATAGTAATGCAGAGGAGATGGAAAAAATGAGGCACATATTCTTTTTCATTTTAGAAAACAGCCCGGTATTATTGGAAGGAAAACGGGAATTAGACGTTGGGAAAAAGAAAGTACAGTAGTATAATTCGATTGAAAATGAGATTAATTGTTCAGCTACGAGATTATTCCAGGGACATTTTTTATTATATACACCCTCTTATTTTCACTTAAATAGTAAATCCCCTTAATCGCTAACCATTACACTATTTACACACATTCTTATGAGTGGCGGACTTAGAAATTTGGACTGTGAGGTCTGTCTGTGAGATGTCTTATCAACACACAACATGTCGTGCATTAAGCAAAAAAAAGTATTCTCTCATATTATCTAAAATGCTTGACTAAAATCTTTTTTTATTGAAATTATCTAAATATTGTTTTCAAATAAAAACTTAAAAAATTATACTCCCTTCCTCCCAAATTATATGGCATGTTTTGATTTACAATGTTTATTTGAAATTATTTTCAAATTATTTTATATGAAAAATAGTGTAGAATTAGAAAATAAAAATCACATTCAAACATACTACATAAAAAGATCTACATTACTAATGGTGATATCACTATTATTTTAACAAATGACTAATAAAAATAGAGAAAGAAAATGAATGAAGTTTAATCTTGTGAATAGTAAACAGACAAATTAATTTGGGACAGAGGGAGTAGATTTTAACACAGCATAAAATATTTTATAAAATATGAGATTTCATTACTATATTATTTTTCTAAAAAAATTCAGACGAAAATATTTAAAGAAAGAGTACCTAATTTTACCTTATTTTAAAATCGCCCGCAGGATCCCGATACCCCGTAGGTCATGCTATTTTAAGTACTTTTCATTTGAGAAATGCTAAAGTTACAAAAACTCTGGTCACAAAATACACAAATTTTCCATTTGTGCACCTCACCAAGTGAATAAAATAATTAAAAAGTAGACATTTAAATACATAAATAGTAAGTTTGTGTATTTTGTGACCAAAATGTTTGTGACTCTAGCACTTCTCTTTTCATTTATGCATACTCTCACCTTTTGTGGCCAGCATGTGAGAAATAAGAAATGGATATCAATGCAATAAAAATGACTCAACAATTACTACATAGTTTCATAACTGAAGGTAATTTGTTACGATATACGTTTCTACTATGTACTCCCTCTGTCCCCCATAGATCTTCATATTACTCCTTTTTATTTGTCCCACATAAATCTTCTCATTACCTTTTTTAACTTTTAAAATACCACAACTACCTCCACTTACTTTATTTATTACATCTTTTCCACCTTATTTAGTACACCCCACCCATTTTCATTAAGGGTATTTTGGTAAACTTTCACCTTTTTTCAACTCTCCTTAAATACTGCAAAAAGTCAAAACGAGAAGATCTTAGGGAGACGGAGGGAGTATTTCATAACTAAACTTACTACAGGTCATGCATAGTTTTGTTATGACCCTTAGATCTATGTAGTTTTCAAAAGATACTAATATCACACTCGTGTGTTGAACGGGTCATTTTTATGTTACTAAATTTAGATCATTTTTCAAAGCTAGAAAATGAAATTTAGTAGAATATAGAGATTATATTATTTTAATGTACAAAATATTTTTGCTTTACAAATTTAGAAATACTCTTTATATACTACATTATTCGTACAATTTGTAAGAATATTGTGTTTGTTGCATATCAAAATCGTCATCCCACTACGATTAGTTACTCTTGAAACAACAACATATAGTTGTCCATGACTAAATATCGTTTCCGTAACGATAATCCAATATGTTTGAAAGATTGTACCTGACTTTTGTTAATCGTCATAGCGTACGAAGTAGCCACAGGGAATTGTCTTATTCATCCATGTGGCTTCTCGATAATATATTTCCTTGTATTGAGTGATTAGCCAACCGAGTTACTATCAACCGTGTATCATTACATAAACTCATTGAATGGTCAATATTTTTCAACATCATAATAATCGTGCCTATCTTCAAAGTCAATTCATGATTCGGTACACCAAAAGTATCTTATTTAAGAATTTGGAAGAGTGTAAGTTACTTAAAAAACTTAAACTACAGTCCAAATTCTCAATCTTGTCAAAACTGAGACATGTTCGAGATTCGCTGCTAGGATTCGTTGCTGTCATATACTCTTTTAAAGAATCGACGACATTCGATGTAAGAGCTAAAATTGTTCGATCCAGCAAATAGCTTAGTTCATTGACTATTCTTTGAAAGTCTATATTAGTCAAATTCACTATAGCAACTATTGGATCTTTATAAGATGGAAGTAACATGTCATCTGGTATTGTTACCTCAACATACCCGTCTTGTTCACCCCCTAAGATCCTGTCACCAATACTCGCAATCTAATTAGCGAATTCAATTAAGCGATCATAACTACTATCATGAATCATTAATGGTAGTGACATGTTTTTGTCAAACGTAGCACTGTGCAGTCTTCCCAAATGTAGGAGGAATCAATCGTTGAGTTAACAATGCCTTGTCTTGTTACTTCTAAAATAACTGGCAAAATTTGCCGAAAATCTCCACCAAAGATGATTATTTTTCCTCCCAATATTTATTGTTCACTCATTGGATTAGACACGAATATCAATGCAATAAAAATGTTTGTTGCATGCTCTCACCTTCACTGCCCAGCATGTGAGAAATAAGACACGAATATCAATGCAGTTAAAATGACTCAACAACTACTACAAAGTTTCATAACTAAAGTTAATTTGTTACGCTATCTATTTCTACTCTGTATTTCATAACTAAACTGACTACTGGTCATGCATAGTTATGTTATGTCAAAAGATATGTGTTCAATGAAGCAAATGATGAATTTAGCTTTGAAATTTAAAGATATGATTTATTGCAATAGTATGACATCTATTTGGGCATTGTTAAATCAGATGATTTCAAATACCTCCCATTCGTATCCACTTCTTCTTGGTCGTCTCGCTTCACTCGGCGTGATATGTCTCTCACTCTTGTCTCCCCTCGCCTTGATCGCCTCCCATTTCCCTCATTTCTCTCGTTTCAAAACATACTTCTTTCCTTCCCAAATTCAGAACTCATTTTTTTCAACACTGCTATACTCCCCAAACAAGCCATAAGGGGGCCTTCATGTTGGGTTTCTTATACCGTGAATAATCGAATCAATAATCATCCATAAGTCACTTGAGGTGTGTTTGCTCTAGAAAACGTTTGCGGTGATGAAAAAACGTTTCAAAACAAATGAGAGGGTGCCATTTTTTCCTCTCCTCCAACCAAACACACTGTTAATGCTCAACATTGAACGAATGAATCAACAAATACATCAAGAATTGTGGTGAGAACGAGCAAGTAAATAGGAGCATCATTGTTGAGCATTGATTGATTGATTGATGATTCTATACCAAAATGTATAATCTTTACATTAAGATCAGGTGAACAGAAGGGGGAGCGGCTTGTGTTCACCTGAAGCAAAAGAGATGATGTTTTGCTTGAGGGGTGATATGTAGTGAGCAGCCTGGAATGCAGCCGCCCGGAGCAGATTAACAGGCATAAAATCAACAGAATATGCCTTTTGAAAGCCATCAAGCACAGCCATCATTGCAATGTTTGCTGGTTTCCTCTCTGATTCGTATCTCTGCAACACAGAAACCTGCTCACACCCCAAACCAGAGCTTTTTAATCATCAATCCACACATCCACCATACCAAGAATGAATGTGTAAAGTTACATAGGAAGAGCACATTTGGTAAAATCAATATAAGGAGCTTATTAATCACAATAAATAGCTTCTGATTTGGTTGAAAGAGTTTTTTACCAAACATGTTTCATTTCCAAAAACTCAGCTTGGGGCCAGATGGGCTTTAAGAGATTGAATAAACAAACAAATCATGGACATACCTCTCCAATGTCAGATCCTACAGCAACACCTTCAGCGATGGCTTTTGAAAGAGCAATTGCATCAGCAAATCCCATGTTCACCCCTTGACCGGCTAGTGGATGAACAGTGTGTGCAGCATCACCAATAAGAACTACCCGTTTTGATGCGTATCTTTTGGCATGCATTAAAGACAGCGGGAAGAGCATTCTGGCAGATGCCAATTTTATGATCTTTGGTGGAACTTCGAAGCTCTCATCGGCTGATGATGGGGCATCTGCTGGTCTGAGCGAAGAAAATAGATTAGGACCACCAAATACTTGTGGTTCAGGACGTGGGCCGTACCCTTGATCCAGTGCACTATTCACCATTTTCACAAAGTCACTCTCGCTTGCTGATTGCCGTTCCAATGACTCTTTGGGGTCCATTGTCCAGACAATGTTGCTGAAATTGTCACCTATGGGCAAAAGAGCGATTGGACCGTTGGGTAAAAATCTTTGCCAAGCCATGCGGTTCATCTCCGCATGCTCTACTGTGCAGATTATGGCGCTCTGAGAATATTTCCATCCAGCAGTCTCAATTCCCGCACACTCCCTAACGTGTGATTTTGACCCATCAGCTCCAACCTGTCAGGCACCACCATAGTCCATAGTGAAACAGATGAAACACCTAACTGAACATTCAATGTATTTTTGTGTGTTTGTGAGTGTCTGGCACTTTATATTTATATATTTATTACATTTAGAATGAATTTTTGTGCCTCTAAAAGAAAGCAGATTAAGTTGAGATTTACCACCAACTTTGCATACAGACTATCGCCATTGCTCAAATCCAATCTAGCAGAACTTCCACATGGTTGTGATGCTGTGCCGGTGGACATGTTGAATGAACTACTTGAATTTAAGGTCATTGAGCTCAACTTGGCAGAGTATATTCTCTTCTTAAATTCTGTATTCTGTCAAATTCTCCATAGTCAAGATTTAACAGGTCGTTATCTGCTAGCCTATATATTACAAATACACCACTAACTTCTGTGGTTGTGCAACAAAGATCTATATCAAACAAAAGCTCATGCCAGTTTGGATAAAGCATATCATCCCCCACCGCAAATCTTTCGCCTTATTAAGTCGTTGAAGTCTAACATTTAAAGAAATAGAAATATTAAACTGTGAAGCTTTATTAACAGCTAAATGCTACGACAACAAGATATTGAAAGGC